GGGGGCTGCCATGGCACATGGTCCTCTGAGGCTCACAGGGAAAGCGTTTGGTGCTCGCAGAAACCAAATAGGACCGAGCCACATCCCGCCCATCACTCTGCAGAAAAGGCTGAGGAGGAAGCTGTTCTCGGGCCTGAGCGGCTTAAAAACCTGTCAGGAAAAGCCGCCGCCCCATTTCTTTACCTCCTGCAGAATGAAAGTGCACTTAGCACCATAGAGGTTCTTTGGTAGAGAAAATGGTCTGATTTGCCCCACATTGTGAATGGTGAATGTCTCCAGCGTTCACTTCCTATTGGGATGTCTTGGAATTGATCCTGCCACAGCTGGTCAGGGAGGACAGGACACCTCCAACATGCCAGTCTGGTGGTTCCTACGGTGTGGTCCTGGACCTCGCCCCCACCTGGGAAGCTGTTGGAAATGCAGGTTCTTCGGCCCCACCCAGACCCACAATCACTGGGGCCAGGCCCAGCCCTGCGTTGTCATGAGGCCTCCAGGGGATGGTGTGGCGCACCCAAGTTCCAGGACCACAGCTCTGGCCCAAGCATGGGCCCACGGTTCCCCCAGGCCTCTGCCTCGAAGCTGGATGGGTAGCTGAAGGGGCTGCATCAGGGAAATGTGGGTAAATCAGACCATTTTCTCTACCAGAGAACCTCTCTTTATTATGCTAAACGCATTTTCATCCCACAAGAGGGAGGTGATAAGGGATTTTCCTCCACTTTACTTGACTAAATGACCCCTTTTCCCAAGGGGCATCTCACTAAGTCACTAGTGTTCTGGGGAAATCACGTTGGAATATGATGGACTGTTGGGGAACACAATAGGGAAATGAGATGATGTGAAAATCCAAGGGGGTGGGGTCTTCAAATTCCTCACCCCCAGGCCCAGTTTCACCCCAGTGCCTGTGCCTTCATTTGCGTGTTTTACTAAGACTCCCTGAGTGCTGTGCTGGGTGCGGAGGTGCCAACTTGAGTGACAACTACACCACAGGCAGTTAGAGCTCGGGGTGGTGAGTGGCACGACCAATGGATGTGCAGGTTGGGGAGGGAGCGCTCACCTCTACCTGCAGCTCAGCCCTGCTGCGTGGTCACCTGGGTGGGTGTCCTTCCCCTCCCTCCCAGACCTCGGGTTCGCAGGGCAGGAGCCCTCTTACATGGCACACTGGCCCCTCCCATTTGTGTGGCAAAGAGTGTTTGTAGCCAGTATTGATTCAGTCTCCAAAGCGATCCTGTAAGAGAGGGAATGCGCTTTCTACCTCGGCTGAACCCAATTACCACTAACGCAGTGGCTCACAGTAATGCACCTTTACCTCTGCAGTGCGGGAATGATCCAACCAGGCTCGCTGGGCTCAACCCGAGCCAGTCAGGAGCTGTGCTGCTTTCTGGGGTGGTGCGGAAGAGGGGTGGGGAGGAGGATCGTTTCCTGGTGCAAAGGGGTCCCTGCCATTAGGGGCAGAAGGCTCAGTGGGACTGTGACCTGCAGTTATGTGGAAAGCACTACTTGTAAGCGATGAACTTGGATACTTAACTGAGGGGATCTGCAAGCAGAACGTAGAAGGTGGGGTCGGGTTTTTCTTGCAGAGGAGAGGGGGAGAGGGAGGGGACTTCTCAGCCTCTCTGAATGGCAAGGCACTCAGAGGAGACATTGGAGAAAACCACCCCTGTGTGGTTGGCTCACCTTGGTCAGTGCCCAGAAAGTCAGAGATGAAAGCGCCACAAACTTGGTGACTCCAGCAGCTGAAAGGCATCCTCTGGTTACTGAAGTCAGAAGCCAGATGGGGCCTCACGGGGCACACAGGTGTGCCTTTCCCATCGTCCACTGCCCTGCTTCCGTCTCCACAGCAACAGTTACCCTGTACCCCTCTCCTCTAGTGTGGCATCTGCCTAGGACTCCCCTCTCTTTCTTCCACTTTTAAGGACCCCTATGATTACACGGGCCCAGCTCCCTGGACAATTCAGGAGAATCTCCCTATTTTAGGATCGACGGACCAGCACCTTAACTCCTCATTGCCCTGGGACCTGACGTATGCACAGTACTGGGGGTCAGGGCGGGGACATCTTTGGGGAGGCCGCTGTCCTGCCTGTCATTATCCTTGGTTTGCACAGGACATGGGAGCTCAGAGAGGTGACAGCATCGGCGAAGGGCCACAGAATTCAAACCTGGGTCTCGCGACTCTAAATCCTGTGCCCCCCAGCCCCCACACTTGGTATTGTTTTGCTGTTAACCATTATCATTAGAGTTAAAATTGCAACTACAGATTCTGGTTACCGCTAAGTAGAAATACAAAGGCCTCGTGAGGCCAGTGAATACATCGCAATCACCGACATGATCTTATGATGAAGTAGCTACTGCATTTTTCCTGTTTCATTCAATGCATATTTTGACTCTGTTTATCCTAAAAACAAACCCAAAAGCCACACGATCGTATCCATTGCACACACCGACAGTTCCGTATGTGTTTTCCTCCTGCAGGGAGGTGAATGTGCATGTGAAACTGTGCTTCCAGGCCGGTGCCGTTGGCCAAATTTCCTTTCTATTCTGTTTTTACCTAAATCTACAGGCCAGGGGTTCTGAGCCTGCCGCCGTGACACCCCACTGTGTCCGAGGGCTTTATGAAATTCTCAGAGCAAATTTACTTTCATGTTCAAAGGGAGTATGTGCGGGGCCACGCTATTAGGAGTGGAAGTTGTTGTAAAAGCCAACAATGGTAGGCTGGTGGGATGCCAGGGAAGTTGGCCAGAGCCTGGTCACCAAGAATCTATGAGGTTCGAATGCTATTGCCAGGAAGGCCAGAGCAGGAGGAACTGGCGTTGACTGAGTCTTTGTTCTGGGCACCCAGTGACGGACTTCCACACATAAGAAGTGGGACAGGAGGCAAAAATAATTTCTAAATTACTTACCCCCCCTCAGAAATGACAATGAGATTTGCGGGGCAGATTATGGTGCTGGTTCAGAGACCTGCAGGCCACCTGGCTCCTTGCTGAGCACTCTTGGGAGGGGAGGCACCCTGTCAGTTGGGCCGGGGGGGTAGGACACACAGGACACAGGGCCCAGCGTCCGGGGTTACCGGCCACCGTTTATCATGGGTCTATCCACAGGGGCTTGGCACTGACCATGGCAGTGGGTCTTACAAAACCAGAAGCCACCTTCTGTGCTGGGGCCCTTGCTCAGTCATTTACTATTTATTTTCCCTTTAACTTCTGTGAGCCTCATCTTTTCAATTTCTTAAAATTTTTATTGATTTTTAGGGAGGAAGGGAGAGGAAGAGAGAAACATTTATGCCAGCTGCCTCCTGCAGGCTCCCTACTGGAGATCAAGACCCCAACCTGGGCATGGGCCCTGACTGGGAATCGAACTGGCAACCACTTGGTGGGTGCACGGGACGATGCCCAACAGCTGAGCCACACAGCCAGGGCAGCCTCAGTTCTGTGGTGAGAAAACCGTAGGACACCTCTTTACAAAGCCTCTGTGAAGATGGGTGACGTGACACTAAATGCGAGAGCTCTTCCTAAGCAAGGAGGTTAGACGTCCAAGGTGCTGTCCCACGACAGACGTTCATCGGCGCCCAATATGAGCAGCCCCAGCTCCTGGGCCACAGCCCCCACCCCTCCCCTGGCCCAAGGGGTCTCAGAGCGCAAGGGCTAAAATTCTCCCCTGTCCTCCCTTAGGTCACTTCCCATACAGACAGTGATCAGGGACAGAGAGGGAAAGTGAAGCAGAATGTAAATGCTTTCTGGGAAATATGCTTTATAAGACAGTGCAACTTGTGATCTGCGTTATAATAGAGACCGCGAAGATGAGTATGGTTTGGAGACAGGGCCTGGTACCGCCCTGTTTAAACACAAGCCGTGAACACATTTCTTACCTTCTCTGCACCACGATCTCATCTGTGAAATGGGAACAATTAGGATCTCAGAGGGTGCTGAGAAGCAAATGAGCTAACCCAGGAAAAGTGCCTCGTGTTGTGCCCAGAAACTTAGCAGTACGTCCTTGTTAGCTTTTATTTTTATCATTGCTAAAGCTTTTCTTGGGATTTTGTATTAGAAACTGGAGTCCTAGCCTTGCCCTCCACGTCCTAGCCCCTCTGTTCCTGAGCCTCCCATTAGTGCTTGTGCCTTTGGACTTTGTGGTAATGTACGCAGCGCAAATTAGAAGTAGATGTTTTGAGTAAAGAAACACACCCTGAAACTGTTAGTTTGCTTGGTAGGAAGCTACACATTCGCCACTTAGCAAATAAACACACAAATTCATCAGAACAGAAGTGAAAACAGCCTGTGGAAAAACCGAAACCCTTCAGATGTCTGTTTCTGAGGATTTGGTCTAAGACAAACGGAGAAGGATCCTGACATATGTGCATTCACTTCTTTCTGTCTGTGGATTTGGGAGTTTAAAAGCTACAGTCACATTATAACACGTGTTGCTTTCTCTTTGGAAAAAAAATTAAGTGTTAGTGCAGCAAGGAAGCACCATGCAGCTGGGGCTCTGGGGCTTGTGCAACATAGAGACCTTTCTGCTGGAGCGATCAAGCACCAGCCACGGAGACAGGAGTAATACCTACAGCTCTTGGGGCAAGTGGCGGCCAGGTTCTGGCCACTCTGGTCTTACATTCCCTAGGAATTTAGAAGTGACTCCTCACTAAGAAAATCTAGAACAGAATAGGGCTGCCACCTTGTGGCCAGAAGGTGCCAGGTAAAGCGAACATGTAGGCTTGAAGCATCAGTTTTGCCCCTGGTACCCAATTGTGCCGTTTTGCTCATGTCGATGATGACGTTGGTACCCACACGCCAACATCAGCCGGTACCTACTCCTCCTGGGTTGGTCCTGTTTCTGAAATGAAAGGGAGGAAGGGCTGTTGAGCATTTCAGCTGCAAGGCTCAGTACAGCAGAAGACCCTGGGGAAGGACTCCTTGGTGGCAATGTGGTGACTTCATTCATTCTCTCACTGACCCCTTGCACACACACTGAGTGTGTAAGGGCCACAGTTTTCCTTGCGTTGACAGCAGAGTGGAATCGGTGGTTATCTGCAGGTGCTACCTAGAGGGGCAGGTGCTGCCCTGGGCTTAGAGATGAAATAGGAAACACAAATAAGCTAACAGAAGGAACAGAGGTGGGAAGAATTCTTGGCTCATTTTCTCTTCTCCCACTCAGAGCGTCAGGGTTGGGGTAGAGTGGGGGAGAAGTGAGGGGGGGAGGGGAGGGCACGGGGAGAAGGCTGCACTGGCAGCCACACCTGAGCTGTGCGGTTGGCAGTAAAGCTTCCAGGCTGTGGTTACCAGATGTGGGAAGCACTCACACTTCCTTCCTTTGCTTCTTCTGTTTTTCCTCTTTCTCATTTCCTCTCTCTGGTCGTCCTTTTTTCTTCCTTCCTTCCATCCCTTTTCACTCCTGTCTTCTTTCCTTCCTTCTCTCTCCCCCTTCATTCTTTTACTTTATTCTTCTGATCTTTCCCATTTTATCTCTATGTTTCATCTGTAAAAATACTCTCTCCCTTCATTATCTCACTTTTTCCTTGGTTAATCCCCGCCTGCATTGTTCTTTAATTTCCCCTGGGCTGTTCCTACTGGCCGTTCCCTTTCCATGTTGTTATTCTGCAGACAAGCCTGCTTATCCAAGGTCTGCAGCCCCCTCCCCAGTCGGGTGTGTCCACAGATCTGTATCGAACGGGTGTGGGGACCCTGACCACAGGCCTTCGGCTTGAGAAATGAGGGCTGTGGACAGGTTTGAGGCCAAGTTTAGGAAGTGTCGCCTCGAGTACTGCAGGCCTCAGGTGTTCACTGTCCTCCTGTTTTCCAGTCCCTGCCTTCATAACTACCTCTGCATTCAACAAGGAGAGAACAAGACAAGTTGCCTCCCCGCAGTGGCCGACAGACACCCAGGATGCCGGGTAATTTGATTTTCTTTCAAGTTGTCTTCTCACTTGTATGGTCCTCAGCCCACCCAAGTCCACGTGGTGTGCTGGGGTTTCCTGTTACTGGTTCAGTGCCTTTGGGCAAAAAGGACTCTACCTCGGAGTTGGGAAAGCACTTGTCCCCTCCGTTTTTGTTGGACTTTAAAGCTGCATCTTTCTGAGGTCTGACCCCCCCAGAAATGCGCTATATAAAAACGGGGTGATATCCCGGTCAGTCACATGAAGGCTGCTCCTCTTAGTCTCTCTGGGACCATGGACCGCAGCACCTCCTCTTTGGGGAACTTGCAGGTGGCCCAGGCTGGAACTCGGGGGGTTTCTAGGAAGACTCATGGCACAGGCTGGGAGGAACGTCCGTGCTCACTCAGAGTCCATGCTCCTGCTGTCAGAGTAGGACACCAGGTGGCTGCACGTTCAAATCCCTACTGCCGCTCGCCCGTCACCCCAGCCTTTTCTTGAAAGAAGAGGCTATCAGTACCTACCACGTGGGGCTCTTATGAGAACTTAGTGAACATCATTGAAGAGGTGGCGGGTTGAGCTGTCTGGAGTTGATAGGAGCTGCACCATACTTTCCTCCCTCAGTACTTAAGGTACCTAATGAATGGCACCCGCCGTTGTTAGATATCTTTAAAAAAATATGTATTTCTGTTGATTTCAGAGAGAGGAAGGGAAAGGGATAGAAACATCAATGATGAGAATATCATTGATTGGCTGCCTCCTGCATGTCCCAACCGGGATTCGAACCGTGACCTCCTGGTTCATGGGTTGACGCTCAACCACTGAACCACACCTGCCAGGCTAGAGATCTTTGAAGCAGATGCTCCAAACACTTTCCATCTAACCGCTTACAGCTCATAACTCTGTGGACAAAACACTAGCCACTAGCCCATTTTAGCATAGTTAGAACCTAAAAGGCAACATTCAGGGTTGTTACTCTGCTTTATTTCCCCAAAGAATAAAATTGTGTTGCTTTTAAGAACAAGGCTCTGAAACATTCGCCCATGTCTGGGGCCCTCATTCTAGTCATAGTGAGTTTTCCAAGCGTGGTGTCAGGTGACACTAGCCTCAGTCACCGACAAGACTCGGCTTCTCATTTCCTTTTATCTGTGATGTCCAGTATAACTTGGATGTTTGACTTCAAGTCAAAACTCCGGTCATTACCCCAGACTGTGCAGGTGAGCTGGGTGGGGTGTAGGGAGGGCCCTGGGGGTGTCTGAGGGACCGGTGCTCGCCTACTGGACGTCAAGGACAAGCCTTCTTGGGACTCACATGTTCTTAGGCTCAAGCAAGTTCTTGTTCAATTGATATAATTCCTTAAAATGTCAGCAAACTTATCAAGGGCGATTTTCCCACTGACGTGCTTTTATACACAGCTTAGAGGTCAGGCCAGACAGGATACAGGCTATCCGGATTTCTGCAGACCCATGGTGACCAGGTAATCCAGTCATGGATGAAGAGTCTAGGTTTAAAGCAGTTGTTACAGCCCAGTGAATGAGAACCGCACGGGGCACGCTGACCAGTGTGGGACCTGTGCAGCTCTGCCTGCTCCAGGCGGTCAGGCGTCCCCCGACGACAGGCTTCCTATAGGGCTAAGCCACTTCCGGAGCGAGTGAAGTGGTTCCTTTTTCTGCTCTAGGTACTGCATGGAGTTCAAGACCGAGTCATTGACCCACCACTGCGCCAGGGAAAACCGCCCTCTGACGCGATGGATGCAGTACCTGCGAGAGGGGTTCACAGTGTGTGTGGACTGTCAGCCTCCAGCCATGAACTCTGCAAGCCTGCGCTGTTCTGGAGATGGCCTGGACTCCGACGGGTAAGCGGGGGGGCGGGGGGGAAAAGGGGCTGAAGGACTTGTTACTCATTCGGAGAGATCTGTCCTCGGATGACAGATGACCGGCACAGAGCACATCAGGTGTGAGTGGGGGGACTCTCCTGAGTCCAGGCCCAGCTCCTCAGTGATTACCAAAACCCCATTGGTCCAAAGAACTTAAATGCCTTAGGGTGGTGACTTAAAATATGCAGATTTCTGAGCCCTGCCTGAATCTGCACCTTTAGGGGTGGATTTTTAACAATCTCCTAGGTTGGGGATCAGCGAGTATTTTCTGTAGGGGCCACATGTTCTCTGTCACAACTACTCAACTCTGCACCATAGCATAAAAGCAGCCAGACACAGTATGTAAACTGATGAGCTGGGCTTTGTTCTAATATTACTGTTAGTGGGCACTGAAATTTGAATTTCATCAGCTCTTTCAAAACGTCTACAGAAAAGTGAGGGTTGGCCTGGATTTGGCCCACGGGTTGTAGATCGCTGACCCCTGCCCAGATGGTTCATTCCCACAGCAGGTTCAGAACCACTTAGTGTAGTCATGAGATCATGATTTGAGATGGTAGTGGTGGGCTCAGCTTTTCGGGGTCATAAACCTACAGATTGTCCTAAAGAATTGACCCATGAACACATTTCACCATCTTGAAAAGCTGTGCCAGTCCTATAACTCATTTATCAGTTAAATCTGATAACACTATTTGTAATTAAGAGAAGTGCTGGGCACGGATCATGGTTTTTAAGTATGTCAGATGGAACTGGTAAAAATACAGATTAGAAAGTAAAATATGGACCTTTCTAGTTACTCATTATTCCCAAAGTATGTTTTAAGGCTTAATAACTTGAATTTTCTTTTATTAGTCACTTGTGCCTAACAGCCTCTGTATTATTGAGTATACCATATGAACAGTAAAGTGAGTAAGGAATTCATATGAAAGAAAAACTTAATATTTAGACTTATTACTTTTTCTAAATACCTCATCCATATTTTGACTTGAAATGAATTTCTAATTTAATTTGTACCCATAAAGTACCTTAAACCCTGGCTGAGGTTCCAGTGGCTTTACTCTTTCTACTTCTCCCATTATTTTTTCATTATGGAATCAGAGTTGGAAAGGATTACAAGAGATGATTTGGTTCAGACCCCTCTAATTTAAACATACATGACCCAGGAAGCCGCTTTCCTCTATGTGGCACTTTATATACTCAAGTCAAGTAAATTAAGCAGCGACCTCAAATGAGGGTAATTGGTAATTTGTTTCAATAGAACCCAAAGAAGGGAGACTCAGTTTGCAATCATTTTTAAAAATTTCAATTTACGATGTACTTCAAAACTCCATGTATGATTTTTTTAAACTGGTATATATTTTTGTAAGTTAGAATTTTTAGTTTGCTTTAGGTGTAACTAACATTTTCAAAGTATTGTTTCAGAAATCAGATTCTCCACTGGCAAGCAATTGGCAACCCTCGATGTCAAGGAACTTGGAAAAAAGTTCGGCGAGTAGACCAATGTTCTTGTCCAGCTGTGCACAGTTTTATATTTATATAGACCGCGAGGTAAATATCTCAGTCTGTTTGTAAACAGGCTAAATACTATCAAGTCATGTTTAATGCTTCATAAACCTTCAAAAATGGTGTGGCCGAGATCCTGAGACATGTCGTTGCCACACCCGAAGGAGAAAGATAATTTAGGTGCTAATTTTCAAGAAACACAGCACTCAGTTGAGGACTCACCCTGAAGTGTCCTGTGGTTTTGTGTCCTTGACCTCCCACATAGTCTTCTCATTCAACAGGTGGCCCATGCAACACAAAATACATCTGTTTGCACTAGAATTACTACAACATGGTCCATTTGTTGGTAAGCTGTCATATTAGGGTATCCATGCTTTGAATCTTGCATTTTTCCTTCCTTTTCTGTAATTTTCAAAAAATGTATAGATATATGTACACTCTCACATTTCTTATATGTTCTTATACAAACTATGAAATGACTAATTTCAAGCAAAAGGTCACAGATAATTTTCTACAAGACAAGCTATTTAAGATATAGCAAGCATTTTGTAATAATCCAATAGCTCTGCTAAAAATACTTATTTTGAAGAACTAGTTAATTGAAAAGATCAATGAGTTCCTTTAAATATTATACTTTTCATGATAAATTTTGACACCAATGACTGAAACAATTATGACAATTCTACCATCATTAGAATCTAAGATTACTGCTAAAGCCTGAAACTGACCAAAATCATCTTTGAGTCAAATTTAGTTGAAGTGAACTCACTACTTATTTTCTACAGCATATCATAGTCATTGTCTTATGTTTGGAGTGGAAGGCAGAGGAATAGATCCTTTGGCCTGGTACACATAGAGTATTATTAGTCTTATGATTGGAGAATCAGTGAGACAAAGTGCTTAAGCATCTGGAATGCCAAGTGATTCTTCAAGTCGCCACTGAACCAAATCCGGCTTCTCATACAGAACTCGGCTTTGATGGAAAGCCAGATTATGCCAAAGACTGTGCTGTAAAAGCACAGCCCTTTTCATTTTCTTTTTTAACAAATCTTAAATCCAGGATATTTTCTTTGAAAAACTTAAACTGTATGAAATTCATTTGTATAAAATATTATACACTAGCAAATGATTTACATATTTCTCTGTACTTACCATGTAATGACAGAATGACAATTACAAGCTTAATAGAGATGGCAAATATTTAATTTTAATGTGGAGAGTATTCAATTTCTTGACTAAATATTCATTTAACCATCTACGTTATTTTTGTGGTAAATTAAATTCTTCAGAAATTATGTCTCAAGGTTAAGAGTTCAGTATTAACATTTTATGATCATTTCTAACATTTGTCAAGCAAGGTTTTTGAAAATATACCTGGGTAATTTTCAATGTTACTTAAAATTTTTATACCAGTAAATAAACTGTGTTCACATTTTAAAAAGCTCTTTACTTGTTTGATTAGAAAATACCCAAATTTTCTGGGCTGGTCAGAGAATGAACAAAAGTTCACCAAAACAACCTTCGGAATTGACACTATGATGACTAACAGCAATAAAGCTATGATGTAGTTAAGGTTCACTATGTCATAACATTTAGCATATTTAAAATGCATAAAATCAAATTTTTACCTTATACATTTAGTTTTTAATGCATAGCCATTAATTACTTTCATCTTGTAGTATATTTTTGTAATTTCTATTCCTGAGAAAAATTTCATCGGCTAGACTTAACTATTAACAAGCATTTCAAAACTATTATTAATTCTTGCAAAGCCCAAGAAATGAGGTCAGAACTGAAACATGTAGTCAAAGTGATTAATGAAGGAAAATTTTTATTTTCAAAGTTAAAGATTAAAGTATTTAAGACCTCTTTGGTATCCTTTTTAAATGAGTACCTTAGAGTTAGGGGCCTGTCCACAGGCACTCTGCAATGATTTACGGTCCCTAGGGCTACTTAATATTAATGGACTGATTTTCAAAAGTGCAGGTGGAAAGTAACTTGAACAAAAATAAATACACCCACACTCAGGAAGGGGAAAAGAACTCTGGATCATTTAAAAGAGAAAATTAGACTCATCAAGAAACAGAGAGGACCTAAATAAAATCAGAAACGAAAGTGGTAAAATAATAACCAACACCACAGAAATACGAAGGATTGTAAAAAAATTACTATGAACTATATGCCAACAAGCTGACAATGTGGATGAAATGGACAAATTCTTAAAAAAATACAATCTCCTAAAACTGAATCAGGAAGAACCAGAAAACCTAAATAGACCAATAATAACTGATGAAATAGAAGCAGGGGAGTTTTACCAAACTTTCAAAGAACAATTAACACCTATCCTCCTCAAACTACTCCAAAAAATCCAAGAGGGCCCTGACCAATTTGGTTCACTGGATGGAGCGTTGGCTTGGGGACTGAGGGGTCCAGGGTTCGGTTCCGGTCGGGGGCGTGTGCCTTGGTTGCGGGCACATCCCCGGTGGGGGGTGTGCAGGAGGCAGCTGATCAATGCTTTTCTCTCATCGATGTTCTGACTCTCTGTCCCTCTCCCTTCCTCTCTGTAAAAAATCAATAAAACATATTTTTAAAAAAATCCAAGAGGAAGGGACACTTCCAAGCTCTTTTTATGAGGCCAGCATTATCCTAATTCCAAAATCAGATAAAGACACTACAAAGAAAGAGAAATACAGGCCAATATACCTGATGAACATAAATGCTAAAATCCTCAACAAAATAATAGGAGCCAGCAATGTGTTAAAAATGTCATACACCATGACCCAGTGGGATTTATTCCAGGGATGCAAGGCTGGTACAAAATTCACAAGTCAATAAACGTGCTACATCACATATATAAATTGAAAGACAAAAATCACATGACCATATCAATAGACATAGAAAAAGCATTCGGCAAAATCTAACACCCATTTTTTTAAAAAATAATTTTTTATTGATTTCAGAGAGCAAAGGTGAGGGAGAGAAAAAACATCAGAGAATTACTGATCGGCTGCCTCATGCATGCCATCCACTGGGGGACCGAGCCCGCAACCCAAGAAATAAATTGTTTAGTTCTACTCCGGAATGAAAATTTTAATCAGCCATCTTGTCTAGGTATGTGCAAACACGATGCAAAATAAACCTGGTTCGGCCCTCTGAAGATATTCTAGTGATGGTTCATACATGTAACTGCAAGTTGATTTAGAAAGCAAAGACCTGGCCATTCTGAGGTGTAAGCAATCTGGTGAAGAGCATATTGATACAGAAATGAAATTGCTAGGTCAAGGCGACAGCTGGACATACACATTTACCCTCTCTCCTCCCCCAAGTCCCACTGACATTACAGGAGGAAGGTGGTGTGAAAATCAGCCCAGAGATTTTGAAGACTGAAAACAAACAGGATTCCACTGATGAATAATCAGAACTGAGGGACTATCCCCTTTAGAATGTGTAGAAAAGAAAGCGGAATCAGAGGTGAGAGCCATTCTTCCTAGGATGGAGAGGTCCCACTGAGCACCAATCAAGGTGAATTTTTAAAAAATCCTCACCCTGAGAGACAAATGTATGAAATTTAAGGCCTAGAACTCAAAGGCAAGAGTCAGCAAACTTTAGGCTAAATCTTGCTGGCTGTTTTTATAAATACAGTTTTATGGGAACACAGTCATGCCCACTCACATATATGGCTAATTCCAAGCAGAGCTGACAGACGGAACAGACCACAAAGCCTAAAATATTGTACCTGGCTCTTTACAGGAAAAGTTTGCCCACCCTTGGCTTACACCATTAACTATTTTTTAATTGATTTGAGAGGGAGGAGAGAAACATCAATCTACTGCCTCCTGCATGCCCCCTACTGGGGATCAAGCCCACAACCCTGGCATGTGCCCTGACTGGGAATAGAACGGGCTACCTCTTGGTGCATGGGATGGTGCTCAACCAACTGAGCAACACTGGCCAGGGCTCATGGTTTCAATATCATAGCTAACTTTTCAGTTTAAGAGTTAATATGCTTAATATCACACTGCATGTAAATCAGAAAGTCATCACAGCAATAACTGAAAACAACTCTGAGAGACTGAATATAAACAGACACTATTAGACCTTCGTATGACAACAAACTCTGACCCACAAACTCTGCAGCAACCAGTTGAGGACGCCAAAGCAAACCTGTACTGCAATCCACCGACAGTCAGGACTTTGTCAATGGCTGCCAACATTCCTATTCTTTTCCCCACTATCAGAACCAATCAGAGAAAGCCAAATATGTTCTCCAAAACAATCACACAGGATGCCGCTGCTAGCTGGCCAGTTTCCAGCTTTCTCATGCCAGTGACCCCTAGCCAGGGCCGGCCTGCTCTCTCCTTGTCACTCTAAAGCTTTCCCACTATAAAACTCTGCCTGCCCAAGTCCCCGCCAAACACAAATGATGGTGACTGACTCCCTTGCTATAGAAAGCTCTGAGTACCACGTGATACATTTACACAATGGAATACTACTGGGCCGTAAAAAAGGGAGGAAATCTTACCTTTTGTGACAGCATGGATGGACCTGAAGAGCATCATGCTGAATTGAAATAAGCCAGTCAGAGACAAGTACCATATAATTTCACTTATGTGGAATCTAATGAACAAATAAGCTAACAAAATAGAAACATACACATAAGTACAGAGAACAGACTGACAGCTGTCAGAGGGGAGGAGGGTTGGGTGAAAGGTGAAGGGTTAAGCAAAAACACCCAAAACTCAGACAACAGTATGGTGATTACCAGAGGGAAAGGGGTACTGGGGAGATAGAAAAGGGTAAAGGGGGGATAGATGGTGATGCAAGACTTGACTTGGAGCGGTGAACACACATTACAATATACAGATGATGTATTATAGAATTACACACCTGAAACCTATATAATTTTATTAAGCAATGTCACCCCAATAAATTAAAAAAAAAAAAGCGGAGTAAACAGCCTATTTGCTCTTATTTTTGGTCTTTATTTATTCCCACAACTCAAATGCTCAACAGCGTAATAGGTAAATAACTGATATGTGTTACTGTACAGAAATGAAAATGAACAAGCTACATATAATATATATATGTTGAGTGAAAGAAAAAATAGCCAAGAATACATAGAGTAATTCATTTAATTTCCTTGAATGCCTCAAGTCAGAAAGAAAAACAAGACATTCTGCCTTTGCAGATTAGCTCCAAGTTGGGGTGCTCGTTCACTGCTTAGCCAGGCTACTTACCACCTGTGCTGTAGCCTTCACTTCACCTCCAGCATACGAGACGCCCAAAGATACTTCACTGGTGGAAGCCTAGAAAGCTCTCAGGTGTTTTCTGAGACTGTCCAGTTCTGGGCATGTGCATGGCCTAGATTTTCTGGTTCACTCCAGTCCTTCAAAGCCCTCATCCCATGAATCGTCCTCTCAGGATTTCCAGCCTGTCTGCTGCCTGCCTCCTCTGCTGTCCCTATCCCCAGGCAGCTGTAGGTAATATTTTTTTAAGGCTGAGAATTCAGAATGGGCAAAACAAAGGCAAATCTCTGAATTAAACCACCACACAGGTCAAAAGACACCACCACAATTCTTAGTACAGGGTCTGCGCTGCCCTGTCAAGCTACACCAAGTAATATACTGTAGTTTTAGAAAAGTTTATATTGGGATACTTTCAACAAAAAAGATATGGAAAAAAATATTTGGGGAACCTGGAACAAGTGTACATGGGACCTCTTTGTATTATTTCTTACAACTACATGCGAATCTACAATAATCTCAACAAAAATTTCAATTTAAAAAAGTAATTCAGAAGATTCAGATTTAAGATGACAAAATTAAAAAATACATTATCATTTATTTTGCTCTCCCTTTTTGCTTCCAAAAGTTATATGATAAAAATCTGTTTTAATCAACTCTAACCTAGCTCTTTCTAAATAAGAAAATACCACACTATAGAATTGATAGCAATCTGTTTTAAAAGATTACTTAGCGACCTAGATTTATTTACAGCATGTTTGAAATGAGGAAGCTGACTTACAGGTCCACGTTGGCTCATGCTGCCTGCTTTGGCACTTACTTCCATTTTACATAAGTGCTCAGATGCTTAAAATCGGAGAGCTACTGAATGACGTAACAAAATGTCTGCAATAAACACAGTGACAGTAACCAGTCTTAAAAAATAGATCAAGCCAGGAAGCACAGAGTAATCACCCACATTTCTGTTCACTCTCTGTATAGGATAACAACTTCAGGAACAATGGGAAAGTCATGTATAATGCAATAAGAAATGAAATACAGATTACAAAATACTATCATTTAACTTTTTATGCATATCCTTCACTATTTTCACTTGTTAAATAAAGCACATGTAACTCAAAATGCTAAATAACTATATTAATTTTTTACTAAATTCTCTAAAGAATTAAATGTTGGTGAAAACTCAAAACTGTCTAGTAAAGTATGTATGACCTTGTTTAGTATTTATCATACATGTAAAAATGATCGTGGTTAACATCAATGTAAGAATTTACAGAACATTATTTAGGCACACTGTTGATATATTAAACAAAAATATCAGAGAAATATTTATGACACCAGGTTATAAATAACTTTACTTAAAACCATCTTTGTTAAAGTTTTAACATTGGAACAAAAGTCAAATATACCTAAATGAGACATGAAGCAAATCTTGTCCTATGGGTATTACTATTTAAGATTTTTCTTTTATATAAAATTACTGAAAGGAAAATTTAAGTATGTTAAAACCCAGATTACTTTGTATCATTCTATAAACAAATGTCTTAGTAATTACTATATCAAGGCCATAAATCAAGTCAATACCTCTTACGTGAAAGGCCCATTATTATTCACTGATTTAGAAACTTCACCTTCAAGTGAATGTTCTGGAGGAGTTGAAGTCAGCAGACAAACACAGAACAGGTTAACAGAAATATATTTTTTCTCTATGTTTTCATCTTTTTTTACTGGTACAGGATTTGGGGGTGAGGTAGTGAAAGCATCAAGGTTTTTTACATTTAATCCAAGTAAAAAGGATCTTAAATAAAAATACTAAATGCTTTAAACAAAAATGTTAACACAGATTAATGACCACCAAGTTTCAAATAAAACGTGATGATCAAAATATGTAATTGTCAAAAAAAAAATGTAATTGTCCTTTCATCATCAACTTTTACACATTCAGTCATCACTGTCTGAGCAAATCAATTTTAGCTTCTTCATAGTCCTCCATCTGTCTTTTAACATAACACTTGTTCGATTGTTGAATTTATAATGTAATAGTATTTTAGACCAGTTTCCCTCTCCGTATTTCCTCACGCCAGATCTCAGATTCTTGTCTTCTTCCCAAAGCCATGCCTTTTGATAAAAAATTAAAGTTATTCAGAGAAACAATTCTTTATATTTTTTAATGAGGTATAACTGACAAATAATATATTAGTTTCATTTTACATAAGTGCTCAGATGCTTAAAACCGGAGAGCTACAGAATGACAGAGCTAAAAAGTAAAACCAGATACTAGTGGTATCAGATTTTGGGGGTGGCGGAGGTGGGCATCGTAAACAATGACAGACAATATCATCTATATGCTATTTTAAAAATTATGTAGTTGATATCCCATTTTGTTCTGAATACAAAGACAAAAACTGTTTTCTCAAATATATCCATAAATAACACCGACTCCATTTGAAATTGTTGCCCAAAAAACTACAGGGAAAGATCAATTAAAAGTATGAAGCAGAGATGTCTAATTTTTGGATCAATATGCAAAGAACTTAAAAATATTAATTTAGACCTCAGAACAAGAGAAAAAAAATCAAGAAAGTTAACAACTCTTCTTAGATCCATCAGAGAAGTAATGTCACTCAACGTAACCTGGTGCCCTGAACACTAGAAAGACACAAAAGTGGACACAGAAAATCACAGCTGGCTAGGAGCAGCTCACAGCTGGTGCCAGCACTGGTAGGAATTTTTAACTGTGATGAACAAATTGATGGAGGCTCACTACAGACAAGCTTCAAATAAAAAATTCTAGGGTCCCGCATTAGCCAGTTTGGCTCAGTGGATAGAGCACTGGCCTGCAGACCAGAGGGTCCCGGGTTTGATTCCAGTCCAGGGCATTTATCTCAGTTGCAGGCTCCTCCCTACCCAGGCCCAGTTGGGGTGCCTGCTGGAGGCAATCAATCAGTGTTTCTCTAACATCGATATTTCTATGTCTTTCCCTCTTTCTTCCACTCTCACTAAAAATCAATGGGAAAATATCGAGTGAGGATTAAAACAACAACAACAAAAAACTCTAGGGTCCCAATCTTAGTGGTGTCAAACTTCTGTGAGTTTTACTCCCACCAGATTATCAGGGTGAAGAGGAGGGGAAAAGTAGTCATTTTGAAATACATTTAGAGCATTCTGTTCTCATTAACAAAAGTATGCCTGCAAGAGACACCAATTTGCCAAGCCTAAATTGACATGTAGAAACATTCAATTCCATTCCTCTCTAGTCTTCTTTGTAGGGAAAGGAAAATATCAAACTTCAGCCCCTTCTAGCCTTCCTATTTCACCCAAGGGGGGAAATAAAAGCTGAGACGTGCATATGAAGGTCTTAGCCTAGGACAAAGGATCACTAACAACAATCACAAAATTACAGAATGCTTCCTTTCCCCCTCCCCCATCTTTCCACCATATTATCTCATCTCCTGTATAACAACTGCCTCAACTGAAAGAGCTGCCTTGGACCATCACTAAGAAGAAGTCTCTAGGAAAATCCAAATGCAATAAGGAAGATAAAAACAAGAAAATTTTAGCTCCTGACATTTATAGCTACAGCAAATAGTAAATAAAGCATAATTCTTCACCAGACGAATATAAAACCTCACAATAAAGGCCAATTTACCTCAGTTCCTTTGATACATGTCCAGCTATCAACAAAAAATGATTAAGAAAAACTGAAAGGTGAAAAACACAATCTGAAGGGATAAAGCATCAGAATCAGCTACAGCAAAAATTTTGGCATTATCAGAGTGGGAATTTAAAATAATTATGATCAATATGCCAAGGCTCCAGTGGACAACGTGTGAACAGGTGGATAAATATAAGTAGAGGAATAGCCAAGAACCGTGGGAAAATTACAAAAAGTGTAACATACACATAATAGGACACTGAAAAAAGGGAGAAGGCACAGAATAAAGATTTAAAGTAATAATGGCTGAGAATTTCCCAAAACTAATGACAGACACCAAAACAGGTCCAGGAAGATCAGAGAAAACAAAGTAGGAAAAAAAAAAATGTGTGTGTATGTGTGTATATGTATATCTATCTATCTATCTATCCATTCTATATAATAAAAGGCTAATATGCACTCAACACAGGTGCTGCCCCCTGGTGGCCAGTGTGCTCCCACAGGGGGAGCACCGCTCAGCCAGAAGCTGGGCTTACGGCTGGCGAGCACGGTGGCGGGAGCCTCTCCTGTCTCTGCAGCACCACTAAGGATGTCTGACTGATGACTAAAGCCTGCTCCTAAGCCATCAATTGGACATCCCCCAAAGGGCTCCCAGACTACAAGAGGAGCAGGCCAGGCTAAAACCTTCATATGCACTTTCAGCCCCTCCAAGTGCACAAATTTCGTGCACTGGGCCGAGAGAGAGAGAGAGAGAGAGAGAGAGAGAGAGAGAGAGAGAGTATAACTACACTTTGGAACATCATATTCACAGTGCAAAAAATCAAAGACAAAAATATGTAAAACTATTGGTGGCATAAGTTCAGCATTTCCTCATTCTCTTTTGGGAATTCACCCAACAACAACAAGGAAAGAAATAAAATCCCAAACTCTGATAAAGTTAGAAGACCCCCTCTGACCCGAACCATAACAGGTGAAAGGGATACATATCAGTGGAAATTGATGAAAGGTATGTGAGAAAACAGGGTACAGTCACCCTGCTAACAGATCTCTGCCTGTGGTGAACACTTCCAAAGTAAGAAACACATCCCGAGGTGCACACCCTCAATCCCTGGTCTGCAACAGCAAGAGCCTCCCTCAATCTGCAACAGTTCCAAAAGTAGAGGTGATGAGACTAAATAAGGAATCACACAGATAAGCAATATGTGCAGGAAGCAAAGCAAAAGTAGTTATTGCTTGCTATGTACACAGGGAGAGAAGAAAGGACAAAATAAGCTTCAGTCATAGGAGATATTCCTATAGCCTGGAACTGGACCCTAGCTCTAACATCTCAATATAAACCATTTGCAAAAAACTTACTAGTATCAAGAAAAAAAAATCGTATTTAACACAGAAGAGTAAGAGAAAGGTATAGGATCACTTTCTATTTCCAGCAATGATAGGACAAAGACCAGATTTATTCACCTGCTATAAACAACTAGAAAATCAGACACAATTCAGGAAACAATGTTTTCAGACACTGGACAGATGGTACAGGACTATATTCATTCAGAGGGAAATAAGTGAAGTGAGTCTTAAAACTGACTAATATTAACTTTCTGAATAAAAAATTTTCATACCAAAAGTATATTCTTTTCTTTTCTTTTTTTTGCACAGAAGAACCTTATTTAAATTGGACCTCTATCAGGAAAATCCTGCCTAATAAAAGGCTAATATGCAAATCGATCAAACGGTGTAACAAGCGGTCACTATGATGTGCACTGACCACCAGGAGGCAGATGCTCAATGCAGGAGCAGCCCCCTGGTGGTCAGTGCACTCCCACAGGGGGAGCACTGCTCAGCCAGAAGCTGGGCTGACAGCTGTGGTGGGAGCCTCTCTCGCCCCCGCAGTAGCGCTAAGGATGTCTAATCACCATCAGTCGGACATCCCCGGAGGGCTCCGGGACTGCGAGAGGGCGCAGGCCAGGCTAGGGGAACCCCCCACCACCAGTGTACGAATCTCGTGCTCTGGGCCTATAGTCCTATATAATAGAGGTAACATGCAAATTAACTCTCACACCCTCACAAGATGGCTGCCTATGACCAGGCCGGCAGGGGGGTTAGTGAGGGACGACCAAATGACTGAACAAGCAGACTGCGTGGGGCGACCAGGCCAGAAGGGAGGGGGAAGTTGGGGGCAACCAGGCTGGCAATGGGGGCAGTTAGGGGCGACTAGGCCAGCGGAGGGGGCAGTTGGGGGTAACCAGGCCCAGGGGGGTGGGCAGTTAGGGGTGACCAGGCCAGCAGAGGGAGGCAGTTGGGGGCGACCAGGCTGGCAGGGGGGGCAGTTAGGAGTGATCAGGCCAGCACACAGAGGCAGTTAGGGGCTACAGGCAGGCATGCAAGGTGAGTGATGGATTAGGAGCCAGCGGTCCAGGATTGTGAGAGGGATGTCTGACTGCTGGTTTAGGCCCAATCCCTCCTCCCCTCTTACTCCCAGAGACCTACCCCACTCCTCTCTGTACTCCTGTCCCCAACACAGGAGGCCCCTGGAGGGCCGACACATTGCCACACTCTAGCACCGCGGTTCTCAACCTGTGGGTCGCGACACCTTTGGCGGTCGAACGACCCTTTCACTGGGGTTGCCTAAGACCATCGGAAAACACATATATAATTACATATGTTTTTGTGATTAATCACTATGCTTTAATTATGTTCAATTTGTAACAATGACACTGGGGGTCACCACAACATGAGGAACTGTATTAAAGGGTGTGGCATTAGGAAGGTTGAGAACCACTGTTCTAGTATGAATATAAAAAGTTACATATGTAGATTTAAGTCCCACCTTACATCTGATGAACTAACTTTATGATAGATTAACAATAAGTTTAATTAATGTCATTATCAATACCCAACAAGACTATTTTTAAAATGTGGGTGAAGTATTTTCTTGGAACTTTGAATAGGCAGATTGGTCAATTATACTAAAATAGCAAAATAAGAGACAGCCAAAAAGAAATATTTTACACTCATGATTTTTTTTAGAGTTGAAAAGAAACAATGTGAAATAATCACAATTATTCAAGTTATGACTTTACTGTGCATTAAGTATTATTCTGAAATAATGAACAAATACCTGTTTTTTTCTAGATCGATCATTTTTAGAAGTTTTTGGCTGATTGTTTAAAACATCCATTCTGTTTCTTTGAGTGGCTTGTCTGTTTCCCTCTGTCTTTCTTCTACCTAAAAGTAGAAAAACTGCCATCAAAAATTGTTTTACATTAGAAGAAAAAGAGGAATTGCATTTTAAAAGATTACAATAAAATTCTTATTTTTTAGCGATTTTTAAAGGGAAATAATTCTTTGTGCTTAATCCCCCCCCCCCCAACTTTGAATCTTTTTTAAAAATATATTTTATTGATTTTTTACAGAGAGGAAGGGAGAGGGATAGAGAGTTAGAAACATCGATGAGAGAGAAACATCAATCAGCTGCCTCCTGCACAATCCCCACTGGGGATGTGCCCGCAACCAAGGTACATGTCCTTGACTGGAATCGAACCTGTGACCCTTGAGTCCGCAGGCCGATGCTCTATCCACTGAGTCAAACTGGTTAGGGCCCAACTTTAAATCTTGAAACAGCATGGCACAGTGCAAGGATAAGTACTAGAAAATCAGAGGGGGTGTGTTTTGAATCTTGATTACTTTGCATGCCTTTAAACAAGTCATGTCACCTCCCAGAGCCTGCCTTTTCATCATCTGTTAAAATTTCTTAGGATAATATTTAAGAAGTATTTGATACAATGTTTTATGTGTAACTCTTTCCTCATCCCTTCTTTCTTATTCATAGTTTAGTAAAACAAGAAATGTATATGTAACTGAAAAGACATAGAACTAATTATTGTAAGAAAATTTTTATACAGAAAAGAATCTAAAAATAGAATTTAAAAGGGTTTAGCAAGATGGGTAGATAATAAACTATTATTTAATGGTTAGCTCAATAAACAAAACTAAATAAAATTTCTGTACATTAACAACAAACAGTTAAAATATCTAATTAAAAGAACTGAAAGATAATATTAACAGTAACAAAAATGTAACATTCTTAGGGATAAACCTAGCAAAAATAATCAGGACCTATACGTAGTAACTCATAAAGCATTATTATATATGTGTGTACACCTACATTGTAAGAAAATACATAAGAATCTAAATACAGAAATACACCTTTTGTTCATGCACAGGAAGATTTCATATAATTGTGTCAATTCTCTCCAAAATTATCTATTGTCACAATGCAATCTCAAATTAAAATTTCACCAGGGTTCTTTGTAGAATTTAAGATTATTCTAAAATTATGTGTGTTAGGAGAGGTAGTTCACCATGGGACCTGAGCATCCCTACAGTTCTTGCTGAATGTACAAGGCTGACTTATTTCCTGATACCAAGCAGTTTCTGTAGTTAGACAGGCACCTAACTAGGTCAAGGGAACCAAATTATTTTAGTTTAGAATTATAATACCTAGGCATTTTGTAACAATAGATGTAGAAAAACAACTTTGAAACTTAAACAACATGAAGCAAACATTTCTTTAAATTTAACTTTACCGTCTTTAAAATGAGGATAATGATAGTATCTATGGGTGTAAATGATTTTGAACTGCAATATACAGATATTAGCTAACAGTGGCCATGAAAGCAGCCATTAATTTATTCAATTAATATTTACTGTAGGCCTACTATGTGCCTGCCATCAAATTGGTACCATACATATATTAGAGGCCTGGTGCACAAAAATTTGTGCACTGGGGGGGGAGAGGGAGGGTGACCCTCAGCCCGGCCTGGGCCCTCTCGCAGTCTGGGACCCCTCAGGGGATGACCATCTGCTGGCTTAGGTCTGCTCCCCGGGGGATTGGGCCCAAGCTGGCAATCAGACATCCCTCTGGCAGCCCGGCAGCCCTCAAGGGACGTCCACTTGCCAGTGGGGAGCAGACCTAAGTTGCAGTCAGACATCCTTAGCGCTGCTGAGGAGGCAGGAGAGGCTCCCACCACCACCGCTGTACTGGCAGCCATCAGCCTGGCTTGTGGCTGAGCAGAGCTCCCCCATGTGGGAGCGCACTGACCACAAGAGGGCAGCTCCTGCATCGAGTGTCTGGCCCCTGGTGGTCAGTGTGTGTCATAGTGACCAGTCATTCCCAGTCTTTCTGCTGTTAGGGTCAGTTTGCATATTACCCTTTGACAAAAAAGGATAGAGGCCTGGTGCATGGGTGGGGACCGGCTGGTTTGCCCTGAAGGGTGTCCCGGATCAGGGTGGGCGGTCCCACTGAGGTGCCTGGCCAGCCTGGGTGAGGGGCTGAGGGCCGTTTTCAGGCTGGCCGGCAACTGAAGCTCCCAGCCTTTCCTTTTTTTCTTTTTATTCTTGGATTTATTTACCTTCTATAATTGAAACTTTGTTGCTTTTGGAGTTGTTGCTTTTGGCGCTCAGAGCCAGGCCACGGCAGGCAGGGAACCTTGGTTTCCTCCATCACTGCTCGCTTCAGCTGCATGACTGCCGGCCGCCATCTTGGTTGGTGGTTAATTTGCATATCGCCCTGATTAGCCAAAGGGAAGTGTAGCGAAGGTACAGTCAATTACCCTTTGTCTTTTATTAGATAGGATATATATATATGTATATATTTATACACACACATATCCTATCTAATAAAAGAGAAATATGGTAATTAACCGTAGCTCCGACACACTTACCATGGGCTAATCAGCAAGATGTGCAAATTAACTGCCAACTAAGATGGTGGCCGGCATCCAGACAGCTGAAGTGAACAGAGAGGATTGCTTGCTCCAGTGACGGAGGAAGCCAGGTTCCCCGCCTGCCGCTGCTGGCCTCTCAGCTGCTCTCTAAGAAACGATGTTGCAAATATAGAAGCTAAACAAAACCCAGAAACCTGCTTTCAGCCTGCGGGATCTCCAAGATGGAGTCACAACAAAGTTTCAAATACAGAAGGTAAACAAAGCCCAGAAACCTGCTTTTAGCAGCTGAGGTCTCAGAGCTGGAGCCAAGCCTCAGAGCTAAAGACGGCTCTCAGCTCCAGTGACAGCCAGAGAAGGTAAATAAATCCCAGAATAAAAAAGAAAAAAGAAATAAAAGAGAGGTTGGGAGCTTCAGTCACCCACCAGCCTGAAAATGGCCCTTGGCCCCTCATCCAGACTGGCCAGGCACCCGAGTGGGGACCCCCACCCTGAAGGGGCTGTAACCAGCTGCAAACAGCCATCATCCCCTCATCCAGGCTGGCCAGGCACCCCAGTGGGGACCCCCACCCTGATCCGGACAC